TGCCTAAATTGTCAGCCATCTTGGAAATCCAGCCCAGTCATACTGTCAGATGACTCAAGTGTCATGTACCAACTGATCACAAGCTCATGAAAGACCCCAAGCAAGAACAACCCCATTGATTCCAGTCATCTCTCAGAGCTATGAAAGACAAGGATAAATTGTTGTTGCGTGATTAACATAATTAAAGAATGCTATGAGCTGAACTGTATCCCCTCCAAAACTTACATGCTAAAATCCTAACTTCCCATACCTCAGAATACTACTGTATTGGAGACATGGTTTTACAGAAGTAATTAAGCCAAAATGAGGTCAGTTGAGTGGGCCTGAATCCAGTATGACTAGTGTCCTTTTAGGGAGAGGAAATATGGACACACACATGTACAGAGCAAAGAGAATGTGAAGACTCATGGGAAGATATCCATCTACAAGCCAATGAGAGATCCTTCCCTCACAGCCCTAAGAAGGAACCAACCCTGCCATTACCTTTATCTCAGCATTTTAGCCTCTAGAACTGTGAAAAAATATATTCCTGTTATTTAAGCCATCAAGCCTGTTATACCTTTTTGGGGCAAACTAATATACTTACCATCCTAACAGGTAACAGGAAAAACAACAAGCCTTTCTTTTAAAGCCATAAGAAAAATTTAAAACTCCATGCTCCATAAATACAAATAAAATTATATTAAGGAACAGTGTAGAAAAATTGCTGACAGCAAAAGAAAAGGAGAAATGTTAAAAACATCTAGAGAAAAAGGCACCATTATATTCAAGAGAACAGTAATAAAATATTCTCATGAAATCAGGAAGATAGTTAAATACTTCTTTAAAGTACTGAAAGAAAATAGCCACCAACTTGGAATTTCATAAGCAGCCAAAATGTAATTTTATAATAAATGTAGATAAAGACTTTTTTTTTAAGATTTTTATTGGGGAATTGGGGGCATGGGAACAGTGCTGGGGAATTGGGGGAAGGGGAACAGAAAAGTTGCAGTCATTTTTTGTTCTTCAGTCTAGTTGTGGAGGACGTTGCTTCACTGGCCCAAGTTGGCACCATCATTGCGCTCTTCCTGGGCAAGGCACATCAGTCACTGGCTTCTGGACGGCCGCTCACTGCGGCTGCTGGCCGATCACGCTGGCTGCTGGCTACACACGGTAGCCCATGGCAACCCACTGCCACAGGGGCTGCAGCCTATGCCGTCGCCGGCGACTCACGGCAGCCCAGCTCCAGGTTGAGCTGTCGCTCAGCATCTTAGCTGTGGAGGGCAGTGTCACTGGCCCTCATATGTGGGATCTGAACCGGGGCCCTCTGGCGTCCCAAGCCAGTTCTTAACCATCGTGCCACTCGGCTGGCCCGATAAAGACATTTTTAAAGAAAAAAACAAATGAACAAAAATAATTTTCAGCAAACCTGCAGTAAAAAATTTTTCTGGAGGAAAGAAATGATCCCTAAGAAATGCAAGAAAAAAAAAGAAAAGATTCTGGTACTATGATATTAAATATATAATAAATAAAATTACATGATTTTGGATTTAAAACTTACATAGCCTCAAAATACATGACAACAATAACAAAAGTTTAAAAGAGTTAGCTAATGGAATTAAAGTATTCTACATTCTTACATTATCCAGGAAGTGGCAAAAGTACTAACGTGCATTTGACTCTAATAAGTAATGTATACTCTTATAATGTCTAAGGTGACTACTACAAGAAGAATAAAATAGTACATATTTCACAAATAATAGAGGGAAAAAATGAAAACTAGAGATAATTACTTCAATTCAAAAGAAGTAAAGAAAGGAACTGAAAGAACAAGTAGAAAAAATTTTAAACAAACACTAAAATAAGAGATGAAAACCCACACATATGAGCAATTATTTAAAATTTAATAGTCTCTATGCTCCAATTAAAAAACTAAGTTGTTAAGCTGAATTTTTTAAAAGTCAACTGTATGTGGCTTACAAGATATACCTTAAACAGCTATAGCCAGAGAAAGACTGAAAGTAAAAATAGAAAAGTATATATTATGAAAATATAGCAGATGAAGTAATGTTAAAGTCAGAAAAAGTAACTCTAAGACAAAAAGTTATTAGAGGATTATTTCATAAGGATAAAGGGGATCAATAAAGCAGGAAGTGGTAGCAATTCTAAATTTGTTTTAAACTAATATAGATTTAACATATATACAGCATAGATGATAGAAATAATAGACAAATCCACCATAATAAACAATAATTTTAAATCATTTGTAAGTCTAAATAAATTTTCAAGGAAAGAAACCATAAAAATATGTTCTCTAAAAACTGAAAAAAAAAAAGAAAGAAAGAAAACAGTGGACTCAATCTAAAAATAAATAATAAAATATAACAAATAAATTTCCAAATGCTTAGAAATTAAATTATACTGAATAACACATGGTTCAAATAAAAAAAAATACATTGAATGGCATATTTGAATTTAAAGAATGAGAAAAAATATATATTAAGATTTTCATGATGCACACTTGGATAGAAAAGGCAATATACAGAAGACATATGTGAGTAAAATAAAAAATATTATAAACATAAAAGTAAAATGATGGAAATTTTAAAGATAAAACCAGAAAAGTTTATTAGTCCCCCCACTGACCTCCCCACATACACAGTCATTCCATTTTTAATGTAAAACCTCTCACAAAGAAATTTCCAGGCCTATATCACAAGTGATTTCTTCCAAAGATTTAATTTTAAAAGTAATACCATACCTTGATAAATAGGACAAATATTAGGAAAAAAGAAAATACTTCCCAATTCATTTTATGAGGCCAGAATAACACTGATCCCAAAAACCAAACAGCACATTAATAATAAGGGAAAATTGTAAGGCAGCTTTATTCATGAATACAGATGCAAAAATTCTAAAAATATCAGCAAAAATAATCCAATCATTTATTCCTAGAGTAAAACAAACATATCATATTGTAATAACCTCAATAGATATATCAAATAAATGCATTTGATACATTTTAAATTTAATTATTAAGAAATTTTAGTGCGGGCTGGCCGAGTGGCATGGTGGTTAAGAGTTGGCTTGGGAAGCCAGCTTGAAGCAGCAGGGCCCCAGTTCGGATCCCATATGAGGGCCAGTGATGCTGCGCCCTCTACAGCTAAGATGGTGAACAACAGCTCGACCTGGAGCTGGGCTGCCGTGAGTCACCAGCGACAGTGTAGGCTGCAGTGGGGCTGGCCAGCAGCTGGCATGCGCTTTTGTGAGCTGCTGTGAGCCGCCATGAGCGGCCATCCAATGGCCAGCGAGTGACTGCCTCACCTGGGAAGAGCGCAGTGATAACACCAACATGGGCCAGTGAAGCGACAGCCTTCACAACTAGGCTGAAGAACAAAAAGGACAGAAACTTGTGTGTTCTCCTTCCCCAATTCCCCAACGTTGTTCCCCTCCCCAATAAAATCTTAAAAAAAAAAAAAATTTAGTGAACTACAAATGGAAGTAAAGTGGATTATTCTGATAGCATAAATACCACACTTAATGGTGAAATTTACAGCAAATTTCAAATCTAATAATGAAATAACAAGCCTTCATCTTAATGGACATATGAAACAAGGACAGTAACTATCACACTCCTATTCAGCATTATACAGGATACTTTAATTAGTGCAAGAAAAAAAGGTATAAAGGTTGGAAAAGACAAAGTAAAAATTATTATTTGCAGATTATGCTTATGTACAAAGAATTTGAAGTAATCTACCAACTAACTATGAGAAATTAATATGAGCACAGTCACAAAAGAGAGGTCAAAGCACAAAATGAATTGCATTTCTTCATACCTGCAATAAACAACTATACTATACAGTGCTATAGTAAACACCAAAACATCAATTACCTAAGAATGAATCTAATGATGGAGGTATATGACCTCCGCCATGAAAAAACTATTGGAAGAAATAAATGAAAAGTTAAATAAGTGAAAGAATTATACCTCACTGATTGATCAAGAGACTCAGTGTGGTAAGTATAGCAGTTCTCCCAGATTGATTAGAAGGCATTCCAATCAAAATCTTAGCATGTTTTTTAATGCTAAGTAATTTTAATCACTTAGAAATACAAAGGGCCAAGAATGGCCAAGATAACCTCAAAGATGGGCTTACAACAAAGCCTGACATAAATATTCACAATAAATATAGAGCAATTAAGACATTGTAATATTGGTACAGGGATGCACAAATAAATCAATCGAACAGAATAAAGTGCAGAAATAAACCCACATATATAGAGCCTGTTGGTACATTGCTATGGGGAAGGATAGCCTTTAAATAAATGGTGGTGAGTTAATTAACATCCATACGAGCACAAGAAAAAATAAACCTGAATCCCTAATTTATACAAAATAGTCATCTTAGCTGAATTATTGATTATATATTCTTTTATTAAAATAACATAAAAATGTCCTCATGTTTTGGATTAGGCAAAGATTTCTTAAACAGGATATTAAAATTAAAATTTATTTCACTCAAAAGATGCCATTATCAGAGTGAAAAGGCAAGCTGTAGAGTAGGAAAAGATATTTGTCATGATTACACATGACAAATGACCCCCTACTTGTAGTACATAAAGTATATATAAAGAAGTCTTGCAAATCAATAATGAAAAGACAGAAAACCCAATGTAAAAATAGACAAAAGATATAAACAGACATTTGACAATACTACATATTCGTATTATCCATATGAATATAAGGTTTGAACCTATGAAAATAGGTTCAATATTTTTCCATGTTGTAAATTAAATTAATTAATTCAAACTAAATGTGATATCTACACACTTTATGCAAATTAGTTAAAATAGAGAATTACACATACATATGATTTTTGAAAATGTAACAATTTCTCTTCTAGCTGTTGCTACCTTTAAACAAAAAAGTAAATCATTTGCTACAATATTGTAAAATCTTCCTAAAATTGACTTTTTATGTATTAAATGAACAATGATTATGAATAATATATACATACCGAAGGATGGTCAGGATGATTGGTATTTCAGAAAAACAAGAAAATACAATCGTAGAAAAGGTTAAAACAAGGAACAAAGGTAATTTATAGCATTTTGCATCACATGTCCCAGGTCTAGCATCAATAAAATCACCCTGATCATCTGAGGTTGTTAATCCTTCATTAATGCAAGAACAATTGAAGTATGTCTGTAAAATTAAGATAGGAAAAAATCTTTCAGAAATATAGTCATAAAGCAAAAAACTATTATTGTTAAATAAAAATTAAATCAATAACCACACGGAGGCTAGCCAGTTTTATTAATAAATATCCTTGCATTAAATTTGCCAGCTATTATTTAAAAATAAAACTTTGATAAGTATAAGTTTTTTTTACCTAACAAAGGAGTGTGTGCATGTGTGTGTGTGTGTGTGTGTGTTTTTGTGTAATTATAGTTAAAGAAAAATTCTATTAATTCAAGACATTCCACCAAAAATATTTACATTCAATTGCACAAATAATTATTGGAGAACTATGTCAATTGAGGGCAATTAAGGGAAATGTAATGAATAAAATGTAATTTCTGCTGGGATCTGAAATATGGACAGTTACCCAACTGGAAGATTTTTGGAACTATACTGCAAAGACAGGGCATCATTTTGTATGTAATGATACAGGGCTATTATCTATTATGCAGAGTAGGCAGTGTCTAGGGCCCAAAATACATCAGGGCCACATAAAAATGTAATTTTTGTGTCTTTTAAATTTTTAAAAAATGAACATCATAATGACTCCAGCCTGCTCATATTTGTCTTTATACAAATACTGTTGTACTTAATTTTTTAAAATTAATAATTTTTTTCAGTGAAGAAAGGGGCTTACAAAGGCAAAGTGTCTAGCGCCAATGAAAGTCACAATGTAGCACCGAATGGGAACTAATGAAAATTTGGGGTGGTTGTTGAAGGGTTGATAACTCAAGAAAGATGAATAGGTGATATTTTCTAAGAAGAACTAAACAGAGTTTGAAGGTACAAAGACCAGTTAGCAATTTATTAATCTATTCTATCGAAAAGATTTTAAGTTTAAAAAATCATAATAAATTCAACAGAAATATGGAATTAGGTCATTAGTGAAAGGATAAGAGCAAACAAAGATGGCTTAAATCTGAGTGAGTTATAAAATGATGGTCCAAAAATCATTTTGTTTGCATTAAGTGGTTACTGGATAAGCTAAATAACAAATAGAAATATCCAAATTGCAATTTATTCCTTCCACCATATTTTTCTAGTGCTCATGTACTATACATTATTCTAGGTGTGGGAAAAACACCCTAAACAATACAATAGAAATTCCTCCTCTTTAATTAAAAAGAAAAAAGAAAAATTACTGCCCTCAAGTAGAAACTTTTTAGTTGGATGAGACAGACAATTAAAAAAAACCCAAACAAACCATAATGGAGCACATGGAGACAATACTTTGGATAAAAAATAAATAAGTAAAGCAAGGAAAAAATACAGGGATTGTGGGGGTGAACTTAGCATGATTGGTGACTACCTCAATGACACAATGATATTTGAGCAGAGATTTGAAGAAAGTAAGGTAATGAGGTATTTGGTTATCTAGAAAAAGTGCATTCCAGGTAGGAAAACAAAATCAGAAATTGAAAAAGTCTTGGGGCTTGAGCTTATTTGGTAAGTTCAAAGAAAAACAAGCAGAAAAATGTGGCTGGAACATAGTGAATATGAAGGAAACTAGGAGAAAATAAAATCCAAGTAGTGGGGGAAGAATAGGTTATATAGAAACGGGTAAGTAATTGTAAGGGCAATTTAAGAACTTTGGTTTTTAATCTTAGTAATGTGAAACCATTGGAGGGATATATGTATAAATGACATTTTAAAATATCACTTGGTTGCTATATTGAGACTACTGGACTATGAAGGCAAGGGTGACAGCAGAGAAAACAGTTAAAAAGCTATTGATATAAGGTGCAAGACAATGGTGATTCGGAGAGGGGTAGTATCAGAGGAAATGAAGATAGATCCAGCATTTATTTTAAAAGTAGATTTGAAAGGGTTTTCTGAAGGATCTTAGGGTAGGAATGCTTATCAGAAGGAGAAACTCATGTGGAGGCTTCCCTGATAAAAACTGAGACCTTTAGGCAAGGGAAGCAGTTAGTCCATGAGTCAGAGAGGAACCAAAAAATAAACACAACTTCATTTATTTCCCCCATCTTTCTGATTTTCTATTAGAACTCATTATCTTAATCCAGTCACAGACTAGAGGCAAAGGAGCTGTCATCCTGTAGATCAGTCTCCTGGAACAATAAAAAGGGTAAAGATAGGAGAAAAGTGGATCTGGAGGTAACACAAAAGATATCCAGCACAACAAATGGTTGTAGCTGTAGAAACTGGGCTGCTTAAGGGCAAAAGTGAAAATATGAAAAAGATTTGGTGAACAGATGATAGAATCACAAGATGTCAGGGTCTGGAGTTATACGAGTATTCAAAGAGGTATAACTTAAATGCCAAAAATTATGTTAAAGTGAAATAGTAAAATATATTCAATTCAAATAATAAAAAGAGAAATCAAAATCCACCATATTAATAATTACAATAAATGTCAGTAGTCTAAAAACTCCAATTAAACAACAGAGATTAACAAAATTGAAGAAAAAGCAAAACCACCTTAAATGCTGGCTATAGGAGACACTTTAAACATAAAGACACAAATATTTGAAAAATGAAATTATAGAAATAAGATGCACCATAGAAAAAGTCAGCAAGAGAAAGATAGAATGACTCTTTAATATATAAAATTTAACATATGACTTAAAGACAGAGTGTCACCAGAGATGGAAAGGGACATTTTATAAAGATAAAAGGAACAATTCATCAAGAAGATGTGACAATTATCAATGTGTATGCACATAAATAACAGAGCCTAAAAATACATGCAGCCAAAATAATAATTATATTAGGAGATATTTTTCATACACAATGTTCAGGATTTAATATAATATTACAAGGCATGCAAATTGACAAGAATCATTAGCTTAAAATTAAGAGAAGAACAAATATAAGTAGATTCATAGTTGATATAGTAGACTTAACAGCAAGAACTTCATAATAGCTATGATTAGTATTGTCCCAAAAATAGAGAGTAAAATGGGTCAACTATCTTAAATGATGTGAAATTTCACCAGGGATTTGGGTTCTACAAAAACATGTTAGAACTGAAAAATACAATGAGTAAACTTAGAACTCAGTTAATGAATGAGTTTATTGGCAGAGTAGACACTGCAGAATAAAGAATTAGGAACTGGAAGACTGGTCAATAGAAAATATCTACATTTAAATAAACAGATGAAAAGAGACGCAAAGGAGAGAAAAGAGAAAAAGAGTATTGGACACAGTGGAAAGGTCTATTTGTAGTCTGTGGTAGGCAGAATTATAACATGGCACCTAAGATTCTCACCCTCTTATAATATAAAGCCTGCATAATCACTAGGACTGTGAACTGGAGGATTTTACTCCCCTTACTAAATTACTTTACGTGGCATGGTTGGCATTAATAAAGAGAGGCTAAACCTTACCTAATTAGGTAAGCCTTAAAAGGTATTGAGCTTTTCCTGAAGAAGTCAGAGATTCAAAGCATGTGATAAGAGAGATTCTCTGTTGATAGCCTTGAAGATGGGGAAACTCATGTGGCAAAAAGTGGGGGTGCCTCTAAGAGGTAAAATCAGCCATAGCAGACAGCTCGCAAGTAAACAGGCACCTCATTTTTTACAGCCTAAAGGATCTGAATTTGGCCAACAACCTGAATGTGCTAGTAAGTAAATTCTTTCACAGAGGCTCCAGGGAGTACTGAAGCTCAGCCAACATCCTGATTTCAGCCTGAGATTAAGCAAAGGCGTAAGTCATGCCATATCTGCACTTATAACCCTAGAACTGTGAGCTAATAAATTATTTAAAGACTCTAAGGCTGTGATAATCTGTTATGTAGAATAGTAAATGAATACATGTCCCCACGCCCCCAAAAAAGAGAAAAGAGTGAGGGAGAAATAATAGCTGAGAATTTGCTAACTGATAGACATAAATCCACAGACTAAAGATGTTCTGTGAAATTCAAGCAAAATAAATATGATGAAAACCACATCTAGGCAGATTAAAGTAAAACTGCTGAAAATCAAAAACAAAGAGAATATTCTAAAAGCAGCCAGTGACATAAGACAATATAATGGTGTCTTTCAAATGTCAATATAGGATTCCATACCCAGTGAAAACAGCAATTTTTTTTTAAATGAAGGTGAAATGTGGTTCTTCAGGAAGAAAGAAAATAATCTCATATGAAAGCATGGAAATGGAAGGCAATGGGTAAATGTAAGTGCATATCGACTGTACAAAATAACAATAATAATAGTATGTGTCATTTACAATATATGAAGAAATAAAATATATGACAAAAATAACACAAAGGTGGGAGGCAAGTAAAGGAAGCCAAAATATTCTAAGATGTTTCAACTGAAAGAGACCCTGGAGCCTGGTTTTTTGTAGTCCTTAATGCTTTGGATGAGATTGACTTCGCCCTCTAGCGATAGAGTGAGGTTCCTATTGGACTAGAGCAGTCTTTGGAGGATGTCCCCACATCCTGTTACTTTATAATGAAAGCTCTATCAGTTGCTAGAAAGAATTTCTCCCAGTGAGAAGATGCAGAAGGAAAGCCTAAGATTTCTTTTATGCTTATATAAGAAATTTGAAGATCTTTGGTGGCATAGATTAAAAGAATACATGTGGGTCTCAGTGAGGAAAAGCTTCCCAGGAATATCATCAGCATGAAGAGCATATATCTATGTTCAGTTATAATAAAGCTGTGATTTTTCTATAGGAACTTAGAACTATCTTCAGAAGTGTAGTATTTCCTACTGCTCCTCTTGCAAACTTTTGCATAAGTGTAACGTAAGAGCATCCAATTCTAACTCATTTTGCCCCTATCATGTTTTGAAAATGAACATTTAATCAGCATTATTTCAAAGGTGACATATTTTCATTGAAAAAATACTTTCCAGAGGGAATTCCATTTACACAATTTAGATACTTGATCATTTTTTTGTATACGGTGTTTGTTTTATTTAATTTCCATTTTATTAAAATTATTATTGGTATCAATTCTTTCCCATTTGAATTAATGCATATTTTATCCATTAATCAATTGCATCCATATCAAACTGTATTAATCATAGCTTCTGCTATTGTCAGTTTTCCTTCAGAGCCATTATTTCTATCAAGGCTAACTGTCTTGGGTAATTTTTAAGAGCTATAAATTTGGTCATAAATATTTTATTCTGGGAGCATTTGAGATCTTGCTCCCTAGCAGATGTCATCTGTTTGGCTCAAATAAACTTACAAAAATTCTCAAAAAAAGTTTATTCTTCTTTCAACTTTTATTTAGTATCAAATGTTATCACCTAATTTGACTATTATGTTGATTACTTCTATCACTATTATTCATTATGAATTAATTCTTCCTTAGAAAAATGCAAGAAAATTATAAAGATTTTTATGAAATAGAAATAAAATCCCCCAAAAGGGATTCCCCAGGAAAAGAAAAAAGGGTTGGAGCTATACGGTGGATGGCTGTTTTAGTTCTTGAATATCGTGTTGGAGCAAAACATCAAGGTCAAGCAGTTCTGTTTTATACTGTGGTGACAACGTGACTATTTAAAAATAATTTACTTATTTCAAACAAAAATAGAGGAGAGGAAGTAGGAATATAAAGTAAGATTTTCTATAAGATAATAAATTGTTGAAGATGGGTAATTGGCATATAGGAGTTCATTATGCTTTTCTATTACACTTAAAGCTTTCCACATTAACATATTTAAAAGTTTTAAAATGTCATTTTAAATGTATAATGTAACATTTAGTAGAAAAAATTTTTAAAGGGTATGCAACCTTTTTATATTAGTAGTCAATAAAAACACTAAAAATATATTATTAAATCATAGGCCACTGAAAACATGACTATGAGGAACTAAAGTGGGTCAGTTTTCTAATTTTGTGATGAAATGATCTGTATGCAATGAGGAAAAGAATATTTTATGTAGCTGCATAACTAATAAAGAACTATTGCCTACTAAAGGAGGTGGTATAATGCCTATGGGTCAGAAAATATATCTCTGTTGCCCTCTCCCCTTCACAAAGACTAACAAGAGAGAGGAGAGAGAAACATAGAATTTTTAAAGTCTGAGCCCCTACTTCTGTGCCACTTACAAGGAAAAAGGTGAAGTTACAGTCCACTATTTAGCTAAAAGCTCACTTGTACAACTTTGGATATAAGAAAATCAACCTGGAGTTGAACAAGTAGCAAAGTGGTCGTCTTGCTTTGCACGACAAAATAAGGAAATTTATCCGGAGGTTGGTAGAAGGCCCAGGCAAATAAGAAATTCTGATGGTAATGGCCCCAAAGATGAACAAATATGGGAACTTTAAAATGAGATGTGATTCATGTAAATATCAAAGAACAAATAGGGATAACATATTCAATATTAAGTTATTTCTATTGCTGCAATATACATCTTCTCTAACTCTCCTTTCTAGAAAGTCTGAAATGTTTATATAGGCTTCATCTGTATAGTAATATCTGGCACATAATAAAAGGACTGATTACCCATTCTGAGATAATGTGGGGCAAAAACAGAGAGAAAGCAAGAGGATATAGAATAGACATTCTGAATTTTTCAGAAGAAGGAAAAACTGAGTGAAAGGTGACCGGAAGGATAGCGTTGATCAACCAATTGGAGCGGGAAAGATTGTGGTTCAAGATTTTGGTGTATTAGGTGTTGTTGATCTGTAGGAGAGACCTATGATAAACTATGTAAGTGGAAGACAAAATATTCTCTTAGACTGCTTCTTTTAGCAAGGCTATGGCAAGAAGTAGATGATAGTCACCCATTGCTTTAAAACCATACAATTGGGATAATGTAATATATGGAGGCACTTCCTGTAGGCATTTCTTTTCTTTTCCCAAGTCCCATAAGCTTTTTGTATTGTGGCCATAAAGCAAATGTTCTTTTCTTGTTTTAAAAATTAATAAAAAGGAAAATAAGGGGGAGAGGAGCTTTTATAAGAGAACTAGGAGTATTATAAAATATAAACATCATCTACAAGTTCAGCATCTTACTGAAGAGGAAGAAACATAATTAAAAAGTTACCTTATCATCATTGAATGTTTTAGAATATGTACAGCCTGCAAAGCAAGGAGAAAAATATCCAATATCATCTCTTCCACATACAGCAGAATATAATGAAGATGAGCATCTACAGTGAGAATTGCAAGGAGCCGTCAGGTTTCCCAACTGTCCTGTTCTGTACAAAAAGAGATTGAACATAATTATAACACCATTGCATTATCTTATTAATGAACACATCAATGAGTCATAAAAATATTAAAATTTCTTTTTAACAGTTTTATTAAAGATAACTAATATACAATGAACTGTACATGTTTCAAGTGTACAATTAAACATTTTTTGATACATAGCAAGTATATACTTGTAAAACCATTACCACAGTCATGTTAACAAATATAATCACTACCTCCAAAATTTCCTCATGCCCCTTTGTAATTCCTCCACCCCTGGCATCTGCTGATCTACTTTCTGCCACTCTTCATTAGTTTGAATTTCATAGCATTTTGTGAAATGGAATAATTCAGTATGTGCACTTTCTTTGTCTGGCTTCGTTCATGCAGCAGATCTTTCTGTGGTCTTTGTATGGTCACATACTTTCAGGCTCTTGAGTAAATATTAAGGAGTCAAATGTTTGCATAACTTGGTAGGTGTTCATTTAACTTTTTAAGTAACTACCATTTTCCATAGTGGTTGTGCTATTTTACATTCCCACCAGCAGTGTATAAGAGTTTCAGCTGCTTTCTGCATTCCTTGTCAACACTTGGTATGGTCAGTCTTTTTAATTTTAGACCTTCTAACAGGGATAAAGTAGTTTCCTATTGTGGTTCTTAATATGCATTTCTCTAATGACTAATGATGTTGAGCATCTTTCCATGTGTTCATTTTCCATTTCTATATATTATTTGGTTAAATGTTCAAATCTTTTCCTCATTTTGTGGAGTTGTTTTCTTATTATTAAGCACTGAGCGTTCTTTATATATTCTGGAAACAAGTCCTTTGTTAGATGTATGACTTTCAAATATCTTCTCACAGTCTGTTTTAATTTCCTCTAACAGCGTCTTTCAAAGAGCGGAAGTTTTTTATTCTGATTAAGCCCAATTTGCCAATATATTTCTTTACGGATTATGTGTTTGGTAATCTAAGAAATCTTTCCTGAACTTAACAGAAATTTTCCTTATGTTCTTGGAATTTTACATTTCACATTTACATCTACAATCCATTTTGAGTTATTTTATTTTATTTTATTTCAGCTGAGCCATCATGCCTCCTGTTGGCAGCTCAGCAACAGCTCAGCTTGGGCAGGGACTCGAACTGCTGTTGCTAAGAGCTCGCACTTTTGAGCAAACTCTTAACTAACCGAGCCACTTGGCCAGCCCCCATTTTGAGTTATTTTATGTGGTACAAGACATGGATCAAAGTTCACTTGTTTATATAGAGATACTTAATTGTTCCAACATCATTTGTTAAAATCACTATATTGCATATGCACCTTGTCAAAAATCAATTATTCTTATAGATGTGGGGCTATTTCTGGACTCCATTCTATTCCACTATTCTGATCTAACTGTCTATATTTATACTAATACTACTTTCTTGATTACTGTAGCTTTACTGTTAGTACTCCACTTCTGTTTTTCTTCAGAATTGTTTGTGGTTTTTCTAAGTCCTTTGTATATCTATATGAATCTAAAAGTTACCTTTCCAATATCTAAAAAAGAAAGTCTGCTGGCCTTTTGATTGTGATTACACTGAATACATACATCAATTTTGGGAGGATTAACATCTTAACAATACTGAGTCTTGTAACTCATGAACATGGAACATCTTTCCATTTAAAACTTAGGTCTTAGGAGGAGGGGGGAAATGCTGGCTGTGAGAAGGGCTCCCTGAGTTCTCCCCTGGAAATCACTGCAATCTTAACTGCTGTAGCTCTTCAAACAAATCTCTACTCATCACACAGCGCAGCTAAGAGACTTGCACGCCGATTACTAGAAGGTGGGCAGGCCGGGCGAGTGGGGGAAGAGGGAGGGAAGCCGTGGAGGCACAGCCTGCACCCGCGGCTGCTGAGATTCGGGGCATCAGAGAGCAGATCAGACAGTGCTCCGCGGCTCACTCCCTGGGCCTTCAGGCCCACCCAGAGTGCAGCAAGAGCGCGACAGTTTGCAGTCTGAGGCAGAAGCCTCAGGCAGGGCGAGTGGGGGAAGAGAGAGAGACGAGAAGTGTGTGCAGAGGCGTGGTCCGCACCCCCCCACCCCACCCCCACCCCCCAGCTCCGGAGCGCGGGACTCCAGGAGACAGAATGGAGAGAGTTGCAGTGCCAGGGCAGGTTAGTCCCTGAGCCCACCCGATCCCGCGGGGAGTGAAACAGAAGCTCAGCTGGAGCATCTGAGGTAGACGCTCAAAACAGCGGTGGGACTTTTTTTTTTTCTCTCTTTTTTTTCTCAGACAGAAAGCAGAAACCTGCACAGATAAGAGCCTACCTCTACCCTCCCTCAGAAAGCTTAGCCCCTGCCATCTCAGAGTCTTAAGCTGACCCCTGAATGGAGGAGTAGTGTCAGATTACAGAGGTGCTCCTACTCCCAGGGGGCTGAGAAACTCCACATGAGAAGAGGCTGCAGAGTGTGAGCCTACCTACCCACCCCCACCTCTCCTGCATGGCTTGGGAGGCAGGGCAACTTCAGCTGCTGAGTCACTTGCAGCCCCCCTCCCCCAAGCAGGTGGCTTCTAGCAACTCTGAAATCTCACCCCTCCCCACAGCCTCCAGCAGAAAGAGCGCCAGAAGAAGCACATCAAACCTTCTGGCTGTGCAGCACTCAGTGTGCCTCTGGACAGGCAAGAGCAGAAATGGCATTAACTGTGTAAAAACTACCAATCACACATCATAACCCCACTCACCTATAATAGACCTGTATTGCCAGGGTCACTCTAGGTGCCAGGTGGACGGCTCTGTTCCACAAAACGCAAAGGAGTTTTTATATAGGATAGGACAACCTGGAGAGAGCTTGGTGGACTTTAGCCAAGACTGGCCGGTTGCGTTTTGTTTGTTTGTATGTTTTGGCGTGTTTTTTGTTGTTGTTTTGCTTTCTTTGGGTGTTTTTTTTTGGGGGGGGGGTTGGTTGCTTGTTTTAATTGTTTTTGTTTTTTTTATATTTCATTATTATCATTTTCAGTTTTTAATATAGGTATATAGATAGATAGATAGATAGATAGATAGATAGATATGTCCATATATATGGGTGTGTAGACTACATATATATTTTTTTCTTTCTTTCCTTCTTTCTTTTTCACCCCCCCTCCCTCTCCCTTCTTTTCTTCTTTCTTTTCACTGCTCTACTTTTCCTCCC